GCAATCTACTTATTCCAAGATGGACTGCCTCTGGATTAATTCCATCTGTTGATGTGCAGTTCTCTGTCATTAAGTACTAAAGAACAATCTTTATATTTAAAAGAATGAAACTGTTTGCTTCCTTAAACATGAGGCAGACATACCTATAATACCTCCACCCTAGAACTTATTATCTAGACAAATTGCAAAATAAATTTCAGTACATCATGAGGTCAATAACAAAACTAGCTCCCAAATCTCTCTAGCTATCTCTCCTTTCCCTTATTATTCTGTTGTTTTCACTTAATCTTTTTCGGTTTATAAGCTTCAAAGACCTACTAAAAATACCAAAAGGCATTCATGACAAGTTCCGTAACAAACAGTGACTGTGTAACCAACTGCTATGTGGAGCATGTCTTCGGGGGAATAAGGTACAGGTGCGGAAATCACCACAATGGAGACAAAGTTCTGCCTAGAAGGAACCCTAAATTTCAGCGTAAGACAGGATGTTCCAAGGGAGGGGTGACAGTAAGACCTTCGGCGACCTCCCCAACACATCGGTCAGCTTTGCTCCAAGATGCTTTCTGCATGGAAATGAGACCTTCCTGATACTCAGCGAAGGCCAGGACGGCTTTGTAGAGTCTGTTAGAGTCTGTTAGACCATTTCGGGCCAGGCCATCCAATACAGTAACTGCTGCCGCATGTGGCAACTGAGCACCTGGCTGCCGAGAGCTGGGCTGTGAATGTACAGTGCTCACCAGCTCTCAAAGTCTGAAGCTGAAAACAGTAAAACTAAGGCATTAGAAATATTTTATATGGATTATCTAACAAGATGACAATATTTTAGATGTACTGGGGTAAGTAACGTGCACTCTTAAAATTAACTTCACCTCTGTTTTTCACTTAAAACAAAGCAGCTACCAGTAAACTTTAAAATTTTTTGTGGCTCACTTATATTTCTAAGGGAGAGCAGTGATTTAAATATTTTTGCTGCTGACCCTCTCACAGATCCAAAGAGCAGACCAGGGAAGCCCCTTCAGATTTATATGGCTTGTGGATCAAGAGTGTCTCAGAAAATGGCTTTTCTTAGTTGGAAATGGATATCCTAAGACATAATATGTTGAAATGACTCTCGCAGTCCAGAGAAGGACTGAGGAGACTTCACGACAGCTCAAAAGCAAAGCCAGACTCTTTCCTCACACCAGGTGATAACCTAGAGCTCTGCCCGTACAATAGCAAGGCAAAGACAAGCATCTGTTTTCATGGTTTCCCATTTCAAAAAGTTAAGCACTGTAATGTCCTGGAACCCTTAAAGACATTCGAGGGTATTCTTTTCCATGTCAAGAGCACAGATAACTTGTGCTGCAAAGATTATGTTGATGAACTTGGTCTTCTGGGAATGAGTCTTTGCCTCCTCTGTCCTGACCCCTATCAGAACACCAGAGAAGGACAAGTCCAGAAAACGGGAAAAAATATGCTTGCAGCCTGTCCACAGGACACAGTGCTCAGAAATGGTATTCACAAACATTTTCTCGGCTCAAACTTTCAGTTACTTATGAGAAGTAACTGACAAGTCTGAAAACAAAGGGAAACAGAACAACGGCTATGTGTTTCCTAGTGGGAAAACTTCCAGTGAGGTTTGAATTTGCTCTCAGTTGTTTAAGTGACTACATCTGTCCTTTCTCCATCAAACTGGGAAGACTAAGAAGACAAGGGGAGAAGAAAGACAACGAAGTGTCATTTAAGAATTCTTTTGCGGGTCCCAGCAAAGCAGACCTGTGTGAAGAAGGGTTGTTTTCCTGGGCAGGATGAACCCGGCAGCTCAACATGGTGCCAGACAGGGACGGAAGCAAGTCTCACTCCCTGGAAAGTTTATTTCCATCATTAAGCCAGACAAAGGCTGCCTGAGCATGGCACCTCCCAGATAATTGCTCAGCCAGTGAAGTGTCATCTTGCTTTAGAGTTTTCCATTTCTCAGACACTGCCCAGAGACCAAGATGAGGAATTCTTCCAGCAGCTGGCTGCATTCTGCTTTAAAATATGTTTTTTATATTAGATTTGCCCATCAATTTGCTTCCCAGTGGGATGAATTTTTTTCTTTTTTGTTGAGGAGGAAATACCAGTTATTTATAGCAACTGAAGGAAATAATGAACGGTTGCAAGAGCCATTGAATAGCACGCCACCAAGTAAACAGATCTATAAACAGTCATTTTCAACAAGCGGAGCGTGAGCTGCTCAGGCGGACCGGGTCACCAAGCTGGGTCAGGTCATCTCAGGGAACCTTTCAGGCTTTTCTGCTCAGCCTTCCCTGCATGAACAAATTCCAAGAGATGGCGACACGGCGCAGTGGGCCATGTGGTCATTTTAGACCTTCTTTCATGGCAGTCCTCTCATGGGATCTCGTGGCTGGGCCAGGGGCTTTTGCTTTTACAGGAGGGTTTTAAACAGTACTGTAGAGCGTATCATCATAGCTGAATGAGATACAAATTAATATTCAGTCAGGGAGGAACTGGGCACTCGAGGGAGTCAGCACAAAAAAATAAAGACAACGGGACTGTGGCTGGAGGTGCTCTGAAAGAGCCCGGCCTCGGCAGCCAGGCCTGCACGCCTCCCTACAAAGAAACACCAACTGAGTTACACTGTAGTTAGCACCACCTGGGCCAGCGGGCCCGGCGAGGGATGCGGCACACAGGTGAGTGACCAGAACATCTGGACCCATTCTCCCTCCCCAAATGCCTTTCTTCTTGCCATATACCTTGCTATGTGCTTGCTTCCTACACAGTACTTGTGCTCCTGTAAGTTGACTGTAGTTTGAGCTACACTGTACCCATGTTGCGGCTTTGCTGTATAAATTACCCCTGGACAAGGGTCTCAGTGGCCACCCGCTCGGGACCCCTGCTAGAAATCCAGGAGTCATTCTTCTCTCCTTGTTCCCAATAAAACTCTCCTAACTTCCTCCTTTGGTTCGTAACTTCACTCCTCAGTGTTACGAGACCACAAACACAGCAAAATTGACATCTAACAGCCCAAGAGTTACGTTTACTTCCATATCAATCTCATTTTTAAAAAATACTGTCAACAACTCCAGACTACTTTATCTGGTCTACTTCTCCTCCCTTTTCTTGGCAGTGGAGGGAGGGATAGGAAGCATGCGAGCCTCTACTTAGTATTCTACTTGTCAGCATCTAACTCGGACCAAAGGGCAGAAGCTGCAAGCCTATGGGAGACCGGAACTCGGGGGGAGGGAGGGGGGAAGGTCCTTCTGTAATGAAATCTGGTGACTGATAAAAATGAATTCCTTGGTTTGTTAAAAGAAGAGCAGTTTACGTCAACCAAATTTTATGAAACTTAAGCCACAGTAACTCACACAGCGGAGTGCAGGTAACATTCGGCAGCCTGAAAACGGAGATGAAAAGACAGAGGTGGGAGGTGGGGCTGCTGGCCATGATGGCCTCCGCACCCGGTAAGAAAGCAGGGCTTGCCATGGCAATGGTTTGGGAGATGTGGGCCTGGAACCCTTAGCTGTGAAGACCCCGTCCAGGAGATCTCAGTGAGAAGAGGATTCTGTGGCTCCTCCGCTTCCCTCTCCCACCTCCCCAGTGACTCTTCCCCTGGACTGTAAGTCCCTGAGGGCTTCAGTAGGCTCTGTTCTCATCACCTCCACTGCTCACACCGTGCTGCAGGCCACAGTCGCGCTCCTGGAATCACCTCCACAAGCCTCTGCTCTGGTCTCCCTGCACCAACCCTCCCAATCATCACACACCAACCAGAGCGACCCAGTGACTCTGCAAATCATTGTGTCACACCTGCGCTAGCAACCCTCCCCTCGTTCCTGTCCTCCTCCTGAATAAAGACCAAAGTGTTCAGACTGACCAGCAAGGCACCACCCCACTCCCCTTGCCATGTTCTATCTGGCCAAGCTGGTTTTCCTGGAGTTCCTCACCCATGCCAAGCGGTCTCCTGCCTCATGCCCTTTGCACCTGTCTCTTTTGCTGGGAATGCTCTTCTCCAGTGGCTTCCTTCTCAGCTATTTCTTACCTGGTGACAGTTTCAGTCTCTCGAACTGCTAGCACTTCCAGCATTCACCAAGCCTGTTCTTAGCTCAGTATTTGTCATCTTTGAACGCATGTATTTTACTTAGACATGGATTATAATCTGACTCATTAGAAAGCCAGTTCCAGAGGGAAAGGACTTTTTCCTGTTGTGTTTATTACCATACCCTCAGTACCTGGAAGCATGCCTTGGCCCACAGAAAGTGCTAAAACCTATCTGTAGAATCAGTAAGTTAATCCTTTGATTTCTGGTCCCTTGTGAACACTGACGCGCAAGTAACCCTTGCTCCTTCCCCATCAATACTGCTCTTGCCCAGCCCCTCAGGCTGTGCATAAGACACTCTGTAAGACCTACTCTGCCATACGATGATACGGGGCCAGGCTTTGAAAACCTTGTTTTGGTTGAGAGATGAGGACTGACTCACTGCAAAATTCATCGGTTTCAATAAACTTGGCACTGATTCTTCAGTGTGACTCTTTCATCCCTGCTTTTCCTACTTAGAAAACAAACACTTGTAGGGAGTCTTTTTTAGGTGTTAATATAGATCTGAATCACATACTATACACAGATAGGTCTCAAAAAGGTAAAGAAAGACATACGGTATTTTCATATAGCTACTTATTTACATATACAGATACATACTCATAAGTGTTCTTGTCAAAACCTATAAGGAGATACTCTCAGCAACTTCACTGACACTTTCCAGTAAAGGGTAAAATGTTTTCTGAACACTATCTCCGTTTTTTTTATTATTACAGTCATTACACAATGAAGCCATGGCTGCCACAAGTCACTTGAGATAATCAAAATGCAAAGATTTTTCACTTATTATCATATACCTCATTTCATTCTTCAGCTTGGCCCCTGTGGAGCTCTTCAAAGGTGAAACTTTGAAAAACCTCTCAAATGTCAAAAATAGACAACATACTCATATTTCATCATTTTGTCCCATCCCAAAGTCACCTACCAGGCATGATAATATTAGAAAAACCCAACTTCCTTGTTATGGACACTCCGTGAGAAAATACTGATGAGTACTCTCTTCTGATCTGTTCGATGTCCCCGTGCAAGAGCTGGAGAGAAACAGCTAACCCTAAAACGAATGAGAGAATCCACATTAAATCCAGGTGGCTGGAAAGAAATAGCATGAACAGGAACTCAGTGGCTTCACTAAGCCCAAATTTTTGGTAGCAGTTTTAAATCGAGGGTGAGCATTCTCACAAAATTACTAGAAACTACAGGAATAATATCTAGATGATGCTTTTCCATCAGCACCACCAGAGTCTTTCCATTTATAAGGAAGCTCACAGCAACTGGAGAAACTTGAGCAGAATGCTAAGAGGAGGAAGCCTAGCTTGAGTCCCCACAGCCTCCCCTCCAGCCCCGGCCAGGTGGCCCTCAGCCCGACACCAACTCGCTCTCCAGCAACACATGACGTGTACTTGATCCTGGAAGACCGAGACACCAAAACTGGAATTTTAATTTTTTTTCTTGGTACCAGGAATCAAACTCAGGACCTTACACTTGCCAGGCGGGTGCTTGTACTGCTGAGCTATATCCCCAGCTGGAATTTTAACTTTTATCCAACTCTTTAAGACCTATGAATAGTGACCTATCCAATATGACAAGCATGAACATAAATGTTAAGACATAATAGTTCAAGAACTTTAAGGATAGTGATAGAAATTTATTTCTTGAAATTTAAGCAACAAAGGTGATTATAATAAAACCTGAATTACATTTTTATTATTACATACAATAATTCATGAAGTATTATTTTCTATTGAGGAGAATTTGACAAACAAAGGGAATATAGTCAGCAAAGTAGTAAAATTATGTTTTCCTTTTTTAATCCCAATAATTATGACATTATCACAGTGGGATACACTTTTTCATATATCATTTTCCTAATTTTCAGGCAAGAACTACAAAAAAGAAATTACTGTCATATCTTTATGAATATTTCCATATATATTGCAAAGATGCTATTTCATGTTCAGCTTTTAATTCCCTTTTCTCTTGTTTTAAGACACAACAAAGAAGTCCCTTACATATACTAGCAATAGAAAATGAAGCTAGTCAAAAGTAATTTATTCTTAAAAACACTGTCGTCATTCACTTGAACTCAATTTAAAGTGAATCTGGTGGGTGAAGGTGACATGCTAACTCTGTCCCCTAAAAATGTTCAACCCAACCAATGCTTACCACTTACATATTTGTTACACATAAGTTCTCGTCCTCACCATACTTTTCAGCACTACAGCGCTCTCTAAAACCAACGGCATATGAAATACCACCATCACCATGCAGTGAAAAACTTCTCTGCCACACATTTAGACCAAAATTTTTTTTTTACTCTCTTTTAATAATACCAGCAAATAAATAATAATAAAAACAGTGTTTCCATTGTTTCACTTGCTTTGCAATGGGAGCAGTAAAAACAGCAAAGGACGGGAGCACCTCTGCAGGACAGGGACCTCCCACCTCCCACCTCCCACTGTGTGCATCTAACAGAGTATTTGTCTCTGAGAGTTGTGGTGAGAATTAAACAAGCCTGGCATGTATTCAGAACTTTAAATCTGCATCCATTATTACCTGACTGTCCCTTATCTAGCTCCCACCCTTGCCTCTTTCATTCTGAGTTGGGTGCGTGAAGGCAACAGAATGGAGGATCAGAATGTCTGTCCTTCCATAACCAGGCGGCTGAAGCAGTGGAGAAGAAACCATCTGGATGATTTGATGGAGCCAAGTACTGGTGTAGCTGTGGGCCCCTTTGTGTGTCACTACTGGTTCCGTTTAAAACTCAGAGGCAGAAGAATGAAAACAGACTAACATGTTACAGTCCATCTGTCCCAGCAGCTACTTCTTCCTGCTCAGGCTCTCCCACTACCTCCACCTCATCACTGCTGCCTGTTCTCCTCCCACTTCTGTCCTTTGCCTTCAAAACACTCACCCACACCATCACCATCATCATTAGCATCATCAAGTGCTGGTGTGTGTGCAATACCAGCGTGTGCCTGACATGGTCCAGAACAGCGGTCCCTCCTGCTGGGGAGAATGCTGCTCAATAATCCCAGGGTAAGATATAAGCAATGTTTTCAAACAAAGAAAAGGGTGGATTTAACACAGCTCTTGAGATGGTGTGCTTTTTGCAAGTGAAGATTATTTTGCTGAGATTTCTCATGAAAGAATCTGATCAGAGACATTTGCAAAATTACATGGTGTATATAAAGAAGAGAAAGAAAAAACCAACAGTAATGAAAAAACAAAGATTATGCTTTTCAGGAGAGGGGCTAGAGCCAGGAAAGCTGACTAGGATTCTTGTTTTGCTCTATGGAAGCCAACATCCATTTAACCAGCAGCAAAATATGATTTATTTTACATAATGCAGATTCTTTCCAGAGGATAAGGCAACAAGGATTTAGTCAGAGAAAACAGCAATCTTCAAATAAATTTTAAAAGACATGAAAGGGAGGAAAAAAAAACTGGTTTAGGGAAATACATGGGTAGAGAGAAAGTAATAATCAAGAAAAAAAAATTATCAATGTTCCCTAAACAGCAAGAATCAAGGAAGGGACAGTGCAAAAGACCGATACCATTTAGGAGACAGTAGAGGGTAGTCAGCTGGCAGGCAAGGGAAAGCACGCCGAAGTGACAGGCAATACAGGCAAAACAGTGTGGAGAAAAGGAAAATCAGACATGCTGTAATTTTAGGTACCCTAAATTTTAGGTTGCATACTAAAATTCTGATGGATTTCAGTCTGAATTTTTAGGAAAGTACAAATTAGAGCCATAGATGTTTTAATTTCATTTACCTAGTCCAGTAGTAATACCTGGTATGAAGGGGTACTGCTATTTGGAGTTCACCAAGTTACTTCAGAATGATGAACTCCGACAAAAACTGGCCAGGTCACGGCACAGACGGACTGACCACCATATACTTGCTCTGCCCAATCGCCTCCCCTTACCATAAAGGAATGACAACACTTAACTGTTTTTACAGTGGAGAGGGTATACTTATAAAAAGACAGCACAAAGCAGAAAGCATGGTGTTGGTGAGTCTGCAGGCACCAGCCAGCAAAGACCCACTGCATTCTATTTATTTTTCAATTAGGTAAAATTTGAGCCTATTTTTACTATAACCAGGAGGCTGGATAAATCAGTAACCAGAACAATAAGAAATTACATATTAAGACCAAGAAGCTACTCAATGCTGCAAAGGAGAATCTTAGCAAATATTTACATAGTCCTTCTTAAGAAGTTGAACTCTTAGACTGAAGCAGAGAGTAGAGTGTTAGATGCCAGAGGATGGCTGGGGTAAGGAGGGAAGGGGGTGGATGGGGAGATTTACTCCAAGGATACAAAATTTCAGTTAGGAAGACAAGTTCTGGAGATCCTATAGTAACTATTGTTAATGAGAATGTATTAAAATGCATTAGTAATACAACAGTATTGTATTTCAGTTGTACATACTTGAAAACTGCTAAGACAGATCATCAATGTTTCTACCATGGAAAGCAAATGTGCAGTAGTGCATGTGTTAATTAGCTTCATTTAATCATTTCACATGTATAAACAAATCCAAACATCACATTGTACACCATAAACATATACAATTTTCCTTGGTCAATTATACGTGAATAAAGTCATCAGGAAAAAGGGACAGATATTTATCTAGCCCAACTACCTGAAGATTGGCCCCATTCTTTTGGGTTCAGTCATTTATGACACAGAACACTATTTTTCTTTCCACTCTCTCCCTTGTCATCCTACTTCACTGCCTGGGCCATTGTGTTCTCTCTGGGGGTGGGACAAGTTTCAAGGTTTTGTCTGCACACTTTACTTCACTCCTGCACACTTTACTTCAAACTGCTCACTACAGACAGCAGCAACGTATGGCTTAGAGGAAGGTGGAAGACGGTTATAGGGATGGTAACAATAGGGCTCCTTGTCCTGAGGGACTGGTAATCTAACAATGGAAGACACAAGTAGATAGCATAGGAAGTAGAATGCGTTAGTGTATGACAGGCACCTTAAGGAAAAATTACTACTGACATCATTTGAAAGTTGAGGGGAAATGTTTTGTAGGAATTTAATGATCACAAAATAAGCTGAAGAATGAGGTTAAATTTTTAATTTTACTAATATAAATAGTAACTTTTTCTGGCCCTTGCTGTAAGTACTATGCTAGTTAACTGATTGTGTCAACTTGAGTAAGAAAAACTAAACTGGATCAGCATAGTTCTGGGTGGGATCTACATAGTTCTAGTGGGATCTACTGAAGACAGAAGCCCTGACCTTGGCTGAGTGGCACCAACCAATAGGCTTGCTGCCTACATGAAATAAAAAGGGAAGGGAAGGAGAGAGGCTGGCTTCTGTTTCTTTGGAGGAGTTCCAGCCTTCACCTTTACCTTGGACGTCATCTCCTGGCTTCCAATGCAGGCCCTTCAGCTTCCTGACACAGACTCATATGGGACACTGCAGTGAGCTGCAGGCTTTTGACCAGATCTTTGGATCTCCAGCACACGGACAGCCCTTTTGCACTCTTCCACACCTGACTCTGTGGGTGTCCGTTGTAAGCCTATCTTGTAAAACCTTATATCTTTATGTATTTTGTAGTAAACATTCCTCTGGTAAGAGTAACAAACATGAACTTGCTGAGAGAGAAATGCTCCCCTTTTTAGAAGACATGTAGTCATTAAACTGAACTTTCTATTTTAAAAGTGCTGTCATCAATTCATCTGGACTCTGCCACAAAACAACATACCAGCCATGATTAAGCTCAGTGTACGGAGTTTTAGTGTAGAAATGAAAGGTTTGGTATCTGTTAAGGCAAATGTGATAATTTGGTAGTTCTAACTGTATGGAAATTAAAACCAACTCACTCTATATGATGCTTCTTTTTAAATTTATGAAATTCTGCACTTTTATATTAAAAATGACAAGCACAGCATGATTTATAAGCAGCAGCCAAAATTAATTTTAGATTACATCAGCCTTTTTGCCACTAATGAACCACATAGCATGTAGCTGAGAATGTAGAGCAGTGCAAAAATGGAAAATCATGGCCAATATATTTGCTAAATACGAGTT